GTTACTAGTAATCTGAGTGGTTCCAGAAACCTGAGCAATAAAAAGTGATTAAAAAAAAAAGTCAGATAAAAAGAGAACAAGTAAAATTAATTAATTAATTAATTATTTAAATAAAAATATAGTAAATAATAAATAAATAAGCATAATAAATTACAAATAAAAAAGTGTCAGATAAATAGTGTTAACTTACTTTTATATATGTGAATATTTCTGTTCAGTGCCTTGAGATGACTTCTGTTGTGACTTGGCACTATATAAATAAATTGAATTGAACTGAATTGAACTGAGAGTTGGTCCAGGTCCTGCAGAGCATCTCCAGTCCCTGAGAGGATGAGAGTGGAGCCGAAACACGCTGAGAGGAACCAGATGCAGCAGACGCTTGAGAATGGTGGACGGAGGGAGTGGCTGGACAGGAAGGAGACTGGTGGGGGGAGGAAAAGGAGTGCTGATGGGAGTGGAGCCCAGCAGGGCCTATAGGGAATCAGGTTCCTGTGACTGAGAGGAAAGGAGGAGTCAGATTCCCTTCAAACGGTCCAAGTGATTTAAAAGGACGTCTCCCTGAGTCTCAGACCATCTCTGACCTCCTCACTCGGACATCTTTGTCCTGATTTCTCTGGTAAGTATCATTATTTTAAAATCAGACAAATGTTTCCAGATTATTCTTTCTTTAGCTGCAGCAGCACAATTTGATGCTTTATTATCTCACATTTCTGCCTCTGGTTCTGATTTACTATAAAAATTCCTCTTCTGCAGAAGTTTAAGGTGTTTTTTTTAGGTTGGACTGGATGCATTCCTCACATGTTCACGTAAAGAATCCTGGATGTGGAGCGTTCACTGCTGTTTGCTGTGTCAGATTTATTGTCCCTTCTCATCCCTCTGAGTCACATGTTTGTGTGTTTGTGTGCGGTCAGGGCAGTCTCTGCTGAAACGACTGACTCACAGCTCCCAAAATAAAACCAAACTGCATGTGAGAACTTTAAAGGTGCAGTCTAAAACTGGGATGGAAATGTTTAAAAATGCAGCGCTCACACTGCAGAGGAGGCAGGAAACTAAAGAAACTAGAGAAATTGCATTTCCTGCAAAAAATGCAGTGTGATTGCTGATTGCAGAAGAACTTGCTGAAAAACAGCTGAAATTACCTAAAAACATGCAGAAATTTAGCTGAAATGGAACAACAAGCCCAAGTTAGTTGCTGATTTAGGTTTAAATAAGCAGAATTTAGCAGAAAATTATGAAATTAAGAAAACTTAAAATAGAAAAAAAAAAGCTGAAAAGTAGCTGAAAAGGCAGAAAAAGCTTAAACTACCAAAACGAAGCAGAAAGAGCTTAAATGAGCTTAAAAAATGTGTGGAATAAGCTGAAAAAGCTAAAATTAGCATAAAAACAGCTAAATAAAAGCTGAAATAGCAGAAAAAGCCGAAACTAGTAGAAAAAAAGCTGAAAGGAACATAACAAGCTGAAATTACCATAAAGAAGTTAATTAGGCTGAAAGTAGCAGAAATTACCACAAAAACTTGAATTTATCTGAAAACAGTTGAAATTAGCTAAAAAATGTTAAAAATTTATCTGAAAAGGTAGAACAATCTTAAATTAGCAGACGAAAGCAAAAAGAATGTTTGCCCAATTAGATTGAAAGAAGCAGAAATGAGCACCAAAAAAAGTGGAAATCGTCTGATAAAAAGCTCAATTTAGCCAAAGAACAGCTGAAAAGTAGCTTTAAAAAAGCACAACGATGATTAAAATACTGAAGGTAGTGGAGAGAGCACATTTTGGCTGAATTAGGCTGAAAAAAGTTGAAATGTGTGCAAAAAAATGTGGAATTAGCTGAAAAAGCTAAAATTAGCATAAAAACAGCTAGCTGAAATAGCTGATAAAGCTGAAACTTACATAAATCAGCTGAAAGGACATAAGCTGAAATTAGCAGAAAGAAGTTACAAGAAGGACACAAATGTTTAGTTATTCTTTCTGCAGAAATAATCTAAAAGGAGTGCAAAGCAGCTGAAAGTAGCTGAAAATAAGTTTAAATTTGCACAAGGAAGCTGAAAGAAGCTGAACCAGAACAAAAGGTGAAAGGAACAGTAAAAGGTTGTAAACAAATCTAAAGATTTGAAGGGTGTAAAATGAGCTCAATTCATTTTCTATGAGAAAAAAATGGCAGAAAATGTTAAATATTTCAAAAAGCTAAATTTGCACCAATACCAAAAGTCATTACAGGACTGGCCTGAAAGAGCTGAACGTTTTGATTTATGATTTGTTGAAATAGCACAAAAATTGTGGAACAAGAAAGGTGACAAAAAAACGTACGGAAGAAAAATGGATCACAGTAGTGTGAATGCTTCATAAGCATGCGTACATACAGTAGCTGTGGAATATAAGCGCCACTTTCATGATTGATGTGTTTTTTCAGAGGAACGTGAAATAACTGCAAACAGACGCCTTCTATGATGTTGCTCATATTGTGGTGTCTTGTAAAGTTGCCAACGAAAGCTGGAGCTCAGCGATGTAAAACAAGCGGAGGACAATGATAGGAAAAGGATCGCTATTTCACAGGGATCCAGCTACAACAGCATCATAAAGCCCTTCCTGTCCGGATCGGTTTCAGCAGCAGAGATTTCAGCGTCCGGCTGCAGGTCTGCAGAGCATTTCTGCTGTGTCAGTTTCTCTGCTTTTATTCAAACGGAGCAGAGGACTGCAGGTCCAGCACTGGACACATCTTAAAACCCTGAGATAAAGATGAACCTTCAGGATGAGAGGAATACATTTAGACAAGAGCTGAAAGCTGAATCTTAGGTTTGTGTTACGGCGCAGAAATGTGTTCGCAAGCACAAAATCTAAACATCAAGTTCAAGAATCTTTATTATCCCCACTCACCATGGAGCGGGTGATCAGGATCTGCCAGAATCAGCCTGAGTCAGCCAGTCTACCCGTTTTTTTGCAGGATAACTGGAACAAAATGACAAAAACGGTATTTTACTTTTATTTGTTTGGCAAAAAAAAAAAAAAAAAGTCCACATCAAAACGATTGGTAGTTCAAAACCTGCTCCAACACCACGACCTTGTAGAATATTACTTTAAAACACAACAAAGTCAAGTCAGGTCTCTGAACGGTTTCTTCATGTTGAAACGTTTCGTTTTTCATCCAAAGGACTTCATCAGTCTGAGGAGCCACAGCAAACTCAATATTCAAAGCACTTTCACATATTGGACCAACCAGTTAGTTTCTGGAGCCCGCCCTGTTTCCAGCTGACTTGTCTGAGACAGTCATGGCCAAAGTGGTTCAAAACATATTGAGCATGAACTCTAATAACTTTAAAATGTTTGTTTTGAGACTCTAGGTTTCTTATTGTTTCCTTGGTATTTCCTCATTTTTCCCTGTATGTTTTTTTTTATTGTTTGTACGGTTGAGTCACGGAGGTACCAGGTCCAGGATGGAAACCCAGACCTCCCTCTTCCCTTCAACATTCTCCAGGTCCTCCTGGGGATCCCAAAGAGTTCCCAGACCAGAGAGGACAGAAAGAAACATGTGTTTATAAAAACTGTATCACTCTAATATACTATATTACGTCTTTAAACAGCTTAGGAAAGACGGACGATGATGTCACGGCTTTGGAAGCTTTGGATTGGTTAGTTGACAATGCCTGAGTTAACTGAAGGCTCACCTATGGGTGCATTTTAAGACACACCTCAAACACTGCTTCATTGTGAGGCATCGTGGGAAAATCAAAATACATCCGCCACATCAGGAAGAGAACCGTCATCCTCCAAAACTGGTTCATCCTTGGGTCCAGTTTCCAGATGCTGAGGGTTCAGCTGTTCCAACAGGTTTGCACCAGTCCGACCTACATACCCCCCCAGGAAGGAGACGGGTTCTGTGTTCTTGAAATAAACTCGTTTTGGTGAGAAGTGTGTGCATCTGCACAAAAACCGAAACTGCAGACCTCGTGAAGATGCTGTTGAAGCTTGTCCGAGGGTCTCATCCACAGTCCTGGACCAGCCTGGACTGAAAGGACACTCAGAGAGGACGAGGACATCACTGCCACAGCAACATAAAGACAGATTGTAAATGCACACAGGGACAGGGACATTAATGGTAGGACATGTGTCCTGCAGTCTGATGAACTAAAATTGATCTGTTCGGCCACGACGGCCATCTATGCATCTGAACGAAAAAGGGCGAAGAGATCATCCCAACTGTGAAGCACGGGGGTGGCAGAATCATGTTGTGGGATTGGTGCTCTTCACAAAATAGATGTCAATATGAATAAAGTACACTGTGTGTAAATATTGAAGCAACATCAGCCAGAACGGGCTTGGACACAAACAGGTCTTCCAATTGGACAAGGGCGAGGAAAGGTTCCTCCAAGACCGGCCAACATTTGAGGAAGCCCGTTTTAGCCACTTCGATTCAGGACCTTATTGTTTTGCTCCATCCTGCAGCTCATTCAGGAAAAAGGATCAAGATTAAAGAACTTCTTGAGACAAATACTTGGTACCAAAGGCCTCAGATGTTTTGATCAGGGCCGTTTTATTTTCCAAGGTAGTGATTTTAGTTTTGTATCTGCTGGAGGTTTTACGGATATTTGCTGTACATTAAACACCTAAATATTTAAATGACTTTCCAGTGATTAAATCAACAGAGAGACGGGTCCATTTGTTGGAGTTCTGGTTAAAGCCTGATCAGACTGCCGAGTCAGCACAAAGTCTGCTTTCAGCAAATGAAGGATTCAGCTGCTGCCACATGCTCCTGTTCACTGCAGTGTTTGTGTTTTCACCTTAAGTGTCGTCTCATCGCAGCAGACAGACACAAGCTGCTGGAGCAGAGTCCAAATGAGTTCTGCACAGCTCGATGGACAGTGACCGGCTGGTGTCTTCACACATGGAGCAGAAATTCCTGCATCAGCAGTGGGAAACGCTGACAGCTGCTCTCTGAAGGTTCAAAAACTGCTGAAGACCAACAGCGCAGCTCAGTTTGTGTAACCATCATCACACCCAAAGGAAACCTTCACCGGGGGAGACCAGAGCAACATTCTGCTGAGGTCATTTGCATTTGTGTGCAACGTTTCTGATCCAGACCTGACGTCTTCGTTCTGTCCTTTAAAGCGAGCAGTCGGACTTTGTTCTAATCTTATTAGAATAAAATTATAAAATGGACAAAATGTTGGGGTAGTCATGAAGTCCAATAAAACTTTGAAAAATCTTCTGAAAGTCTAGAAAACTGTCAATCCAGTATACTTTAAAATCAATGATTACAGTAACGTTGAGTACGGAGGGTTAAAAGTGGCAAAATTAATCAAATAAATACATCCTAAAATAAATAAATGCACCATTAAATAGTAAGTACCAGTATACCATAAAATTATGAAATTAAAAATTAAATGTACCATTTAAATAATTAAATGAAATGAACGTCATTTTGAAGAAAATTTTTTTTTTTTTTAAACATATAATAATTTCACCATCTATTTATTTCATGGCTCCCGTGCAAATATGGAGAGCTAAAAGTGACAAATTGAATTAAATAAATACATCCTAAAATAAATAAATGTACCATTAAATAGTAAGTATATCATAAAATTATGAAATTAAAAATTAAATGTCCCATCTAAATAATTAAATTAAATTAACATAATTTTGAAGAAAACGTTCTTTTAAAATACATATAATTATTTCACCATCTATTTATTTCATGGCTCCTGTGCAAGTATGGAGAGTTAAAAGTGACTAAATGAATTAAATAAATACATCCTGAAATGAATAAATGTATCATTAAATAATCAAGTATACCATAAAATCATGAAAGGCACAATAAAATAATTGAATGTTCCATTTAAATAATTAAATTAGATTAATTCCATTTTGAAGAACACTTTTTTTTTTACATCGATATAATTATTTCAACATGTATTTAATTATTTCTTGGCTCACATGTAAATATGGAGAGTTAAAAGTGACTAAATTAATTAATTAAATATGTCCTAACATAAATAAATGTACCACTAAAGTAAGTATACCATAAAATTATGACACTAAAAATAAATGTACCATTTAAATAATTAAATTAAATGAACGTCATTTTGAATAAAATGTTTTTTTTATACATACAATTATTTCACCACCTATTTATTTCATGGCTCACATGTAAATATGGAGAGCTAAAAGTGACTAAATTAAATGAATAAATAAATGTGAATGCCAAATGAAAAATAAATGTATCATGATGTTTTTACTTATTTGTTTTGTCATGTTTGACCTTCCTCAGTTGAGGAGCTTGGTAGGAAAATATAAGGAAACAAGGAGTGGATTAAGAGGTTATAGACAGCATGTATCCACGAAGCAGTAATAAATCACTTTGTTTTACAGCACCAGCACGTTTCAGGGACAAAGATGGATCCTGGAGGTTCATGTGAGTTCTCTCTCAGATTGACTGGGGATTATTCATGAATGATCTTTTGGTGCAGTACCTGTGCTATGACAACTTTCCTCAGGTGTCCCGGACGATCCAGACGTGAAGCTGATGATGGGAGGGTCCACGCTGAGGAAGGTCAAGTCGCGCTCCTGGAAGAAGCAGAGACACTTCTGTCTTCTGGAGGACGGTTCGACGATCTGGTACAAGTCCAGATGGGCGGGGAAAGGCCACTCCACCTGTGAGTGCAGAAGCGCAGTCACACCATTTGAACGGCAGACATTGATATCGTGACTGATTCCAAACTGATGGGTTAAAAACAACCCACCTTGTCACCCAGCGTTGGGACAAATCAGAATCAGAATAAGCTTTATTGTCATTGCACAGTGAAGTACAACAAAATTACATTCTGTACAGCCATCCTAAAGATGGACAGGGCCTGCAGCTTCTTTAAGAAGTGCTGTCCTTATTGCTTGGATAGAAAAGGGGACGAAAACATAACGAGAGAGAGGTACATTAAAAAAAGACCTCTAACACCGTGTCCTTACAGGGCATGGTTAAGGCATCAAAAAAATCTACACAACACATATGCATGGACGACAAGATGGTGAAATTTGTCCATGAGCACTTCCAGATAGTTACCATAGTCCTGATAAGATGTTACAGTTTCTGTCAGCCGATACAGCTCTGATAAACTTTCACAGAAGTTATCTGGGTGGGGGGTTGCAGGGGTGGACAGAGCAGAGCTTCTTGATTTACATATCCACCAGGAGCCATGTGAGATAAGTTGGCCTATCCAAGGCCAAGCGGGGAGGCCAGATCCAGATAAACAACAATTGTTTTGGGCAGGCAGACTCTGGTTTCTGTCTGCCTTCAGTTCTGCTGGATCTCGATCCCGCCCGGTCTGTGCTCGTTAGCTTTCTCCAAGGTCGAATCCTTCGTGCCAGTGAGTTCCAGGTGCCGCAAGTGGCCCACAATTCTCAGAAATCGCGTCCAGCTTGCCGATGAGCTCGCTAAACAAATGAGTTTGAGCGCTCAAAGCACAAATTAATCCTTCACATAAGGCTGGCAGCTTTACCATGGCTGAAACTGCTGCCGACGCCTTCCTAATTTGTCGATATCCTAGGTATCCACCGAATCCATAAAGCAGAAGCCCTGTTATCATAAATCCAATAATGTACACATCTTATATGTCCTCCACAGACAGAACAGGCAGGCACACCATCTTCCACTGCCCCCAGGAATCCATGACATACCCAGCTGCATGTGTCCATTCAGGGCATGAGGGCTCTCCAGCACCCTGTCTCTTGATCAAAAAATGTTATCAATTGTGTTGAGAGATCAGCTGACCAGATCCATAATAATAATTTGGGCCAACTCGGAGTAATTTTACATCAGCAGGATAAGGGTTGGGTTATCAGTTTGATCCAGCATACTGGATTATTTGCTGAATTGGAGCCACTAAAATGTTAAATTAGGAAGAAAAAAAAATTCTGGGTAGTTTGACGATCACAACTTGTTTGGTGCTAATCATCAACTTTAACAAAAACGAACGGAGTGGCTCCACCTCCCCTTGTTCAAAATAGAAGCCTAAATGACCATATTTGGGGACTGCCATGTTGTACTTTTGGAGACAGAATCTGAACCATCAGTACAAAACTAACGTTGTAACCCCCTCCCAACTTCCTAACAGGCTGTAACTTGAGATTACAGTAATCCCTCTCTACTTCGCGGCTAGTTTATCACGGATTCGCTCTATCTCGGTTTTTCAAAATAAGATTGGACATGATACACAATTGGCTGATTGATAAATGAGCCACACTATCAGCATATAATTTTTATTTAAAATAAATTATTTAAAATTATTTATCACCTGCTGCTCCTTTGTGCAGCCAGAACTGCAGAAAAAGCTTCCTGCTGTGCATCTGTGCAGCCCATGCAGATAAACTTCCTCCTGCAGCTGAACAGCTGATCAGCTGATCTGGTGCAGAGCGGAGAAGTGGGCGTGGCCAAGAGCGCTTGCAGGTGGCTGAGAGCAGAGGAGGCAAAGAGCTGAAATCATGACATTCTGTGCTCTTTTTGAGCGTTTAGAAACATTGTTTAGAATATTGCAAGAGTGTGGGAAGGGTTTAAAACACCTTAATATCTACAGTATATATATAAATACTAAAATAAACGTCTACTTTCTACTTGTGCTATTATTCGTACTTCGCGGTTTTTCACTTATCGCCGGGCTTCAGGGTACGGATCCCCCGTGATAAATGAGGAACGACTGTATTATACAGTATTTTTTTGGGGGAGATGCATATTCATCGCTAAGAGAAAAGTGGAAAAGTGAGTTTGAATGAACACGTTGTTTTATCTGAGAGTCAAAGAAAGAAAGAGCAAAGAGAGGGGATTAGAAATACCCTCTCCATCTGTCCATTCATGTTGTGAGCATGATGACTTGAAAAATAATTGAGGTACTGACTTCAGTTTTGTTGTGTGGCTCCATCTAGGGGGTAAGGATGGTCCCACTCCCTATCAAAAATATAGGGAGATGGAGATGTTCCCACAGTGCTTTATTCTGCTTAAAATTAAAGTTTCCTCAAATGATTAGGGTGGCCCTTGGGGTGGCCAACCCCTGGCTCTGCCACCACTTGTCAAGATTCGTCACTCTGCACTGCTTCTAACACGAAAAATAAATAAATAAAAATCTACCACTGTTCTTACACAGTGCAATTCCAACACACTTGAAATTCTTGCACCAAAAACATTCAGGTTTACGTGCATTCCCACATTAATTCCTGTCCAGAACAACACTCTTCTCAAAAACTACAAACATTAACATACTCACTACTTTGGAAGTAACATGTAAAGAAATGAGTCACCAGCCAAGATGTTTGCTTTGCACTTTTACTAAAATGAAGTCTGGAGTAAATCGATTTAAAAGATGACCATCTGGGTGAATTAGATCAAGCGGTTGCAGGTTCACTCAATAAAAATTTGACCACATTCTGACTCTGGACTTTTCTGGGAAGCTCTAATAGGCACGCTGTAGCTTCACATCAATATCTGCGTCGAAACTTATCTGACCCTCAAAAATAAACTTCTGATGGTCACACATGCACAAGAACAAATTCCGGAAGAGGCACAAATTATATCTAATTCATGAGGATGCTGCTGCAAAGGAAGAATCAGACTGGATGGAGCCGGGCTGTAGAACTGAGATGTTGATGGACAGTTTGTGGTGGAGAGAGGCTGAGCGACGAGGCTGGCAGGTGGACAGGAAATGACCCGACCCACACAGAGGTTTTACATTAGCTTAGAGCTGAGCTTTACAGTGTCTGTATGGATTTAAGCATTAGAGAGGTTGAATGATGAGTGGAAATAATAATAAGAGAAGTCAGGAGAAATGAGGCACAGAAACGTTATTTTTATCACTCTGATATGGTTTCGATAAGCATTGTCCTCTTTTCATCGTTTGCCTCAGTTTCAGTGACAGATCTGGAAGCCGTACGTGAGGGACATCAGTCTGAAGTCCTGCTGAGCCTCGCCGAGGAGTTTCCCGCTGAGCTCTGCTTCACCTTAGTCTTTCACGGTCGCCAAGGCAACCTGGACCTCGTGGCTGAGTCCCCGGAGGAGGCCCAGGCCTGGATCAAGGGAATCCGGAAGCTGATTCACAAAGCCCAAACCATGGATGAGCAGGAGAGACTGGACCAGTATCCTTTGACTTCAGGGTTTGGTTGACGTCACACTCCAAGTCATCCTTTTGCTTCTTTTTAAACAAGTCTCTATAGCATACAATGGTGGTTCCCAACCCTGGTCCTTGAGGAACACCATCCTGCATGTTTTAGTTGTTTCCTTGCTTTGACGCACCTGATTTGAATGAATGGGTGCTTAACAGGCTTTGGCAGAACTTGAAGTAATAAAATCACTGAGTCAGGTGTTTTGGAGCAGGGAAACAACTAAAACATGCAGGATGGTGTTCCTCAAGGACCATTGTTGGGAGTCATTGTCTTACACACAACAAACATCCTTTTTCCTCTCGGGTTAGTGAGGATGTTGACCTTTTTGTTTCGTCAGTGCTGGAGTTTTCCTTTAGCATCTATTCTCAGATGGGTCCGGGACTGGTTTCAGAAAGCTGACAAGAACAAAGACGGTAAGATGACTTTCAAAGAAGTGAAGACGCTGCTGAAGATGATGAACGTAGACATGAATGAAGAACATGCTCTTCATCTCTTCACAGTAAGTCTGAGGGTCTGAGGTGTGAAAACAGGCAGATTGAAGGATTGATTTAAAACCTTGGACCTTGGTTCAGTCCACACTAAAAACTGATGGGTTAAAGTTGTTGTATGTTGGGGTTGGTTTGACCAAAGCTTGGGTCAAAACTTTGACATTCCCCATTTTTATTGTTGTTGCTGGCTAGCACCAACCCAAGTTACAATTGTCTTATTAAAAAAAGTTGTTTTAATCCAATTTTGGGGGTAGAAATCTTAACCCAGAGCAATGAGTCAAACAGTCAACCCAACCCTGCTGATGTAAAACTGCCCAGAGTTGGCTCAGTCCAAATTTGGCCCGATGCTGGATTACAAATTGAATCGTTTTGTCATATCAGTGACATCAGAAACTCTGTAGAACAACTACTAAAGACTATTTTTGAAATAATTTAAGAAACTCTGGCGCAATAGAAGCAAAACACCAACAAATAAGAGGCACTGTTGGCAAGACCATGAAACATTTCTTACAATTTGGTGAAGTTTTCTTTAAAAATGCATCAAGCACAAAGCACTTTCCTAATTCCACAGATGGCAGACAGGTCAGAAAGTGGCTCTTTGGAAATCGAGCAGTTCGTTCACTTCTATAAGATCCTGACTCAGAGGGACGAGGTGTGGAAGGTGTTTCAGGACTACTCTGGAGATGGAGAGATGCTAACGTTGGAGGAGCTGGAAAGTTTCCTTACGGTGGAGCAGCAGGAAGGGGAACAGAGCTCCCGTCATGCTCAAGAGCTGATTCAGCAATACGAACCATCAGAAACAGGTGACTTATTTCTCCATAACCACAGACCAGTCTTTGTTGGACTAATGGCATAAAGGACTTTTCACAATTTTAATCACCACTAAACGCAGAACAGGTCACATAAACACTACTCTTATTGATAGGTTTTAGCTTCATCTTCTATTTTTATCACTTATTTTCTTGTTGCATCCTTGTGGACTTCCATCTCATACAACTCACCTCATCTCTTCTCATCAAGCGTTTTGTAAGATTGCAGAGATGTCTTGGTTTATTAATACATGAAAACGACTTAACCTCTGTGCAGCCAAGAAGCAAAGTGCCATGTCCCTGGAAGGGTTCCAGATGTACCTGTGCTCCCAGGATGGCTCCATCTTCAAACCTGAGCACCTGGAGCTCCATCAGGACATGAGTCAGCCGCTCAGCCACTACTTTATCTCCTCCTCACACAACACCTACCTCCTGGAGGACCAGCTACGAGGACAAAGCAGCCTGGAGGCCTACATCCAGTGAGTAGACAGAGTTGTAGACATAACCAGTATGATTTAAACGGGTATAACTCTAAAGTAATTGGTCCATGTTTGTGAGCGTAGGGCCCTGAAAAGAGGCTGTCGCTGTGTGGAGGTGGACTGTTGGGATGGCGGCGACGGGGAACCCGTCGTCTATCACGGCCACACTTTCACTTCGAAAATCCTCTTCAGAGACGTGATTTCAACACTCAGAGACTACGCGTTCAAGGTTCGCAGCAGAACTTATAAAAGGAAGTAAATACAAACCCTTTCAATTGTAGGCTTTACATTTGGTCTTTACCAGATCTTCAAATTCAGAACAAACAATGGATAACACCAAATCCAAAAAATTGGGATGCTGTGTAAATTGTAAGGATTTACAAATCTCATAAACCCACATTTTATTCACGACGGAACACAAAGTAACTTTACAGTATATTGATTTGGGGGTTGTACCTAAAGTAATTAATTTAACCATTTCATTGCTTTGAAAACAGCTCTAACTAAAGCTGTTTAGTGTTCTGTTGACCATCCATCATACTGGTATGAAACAACCACTAATTAATTTATAGTATCCTCTAATGTCCTCAAGCAGTTGCACAAATACAGAATAACACAATTACCTAGAAGTGTAGGCAGAAAATCCACAAAATCCATGTGAGCCCAGTAAGTCATTCCTGATAATCTTCCTTACCTCTGGAATCAAACGTGTCCCAAATTCAACAGAATTTCAACATAACTGTGACCCTGAACAGACCAGATCACCATGTGTTTTAAAAACATTGTCTTTTTGTGTTGATAGGTATCAGACTTCCCTGTCATTGTGTCTCTGGAGAATCACTGTGGAGTGGAGCAGCAGACGGTCATGGCCAACCATCTTAAACAAATATTAGGAGACCTGCTGCTGACGGCTCCTCTGGATGGACAGATCCCTCAACAGCTCCCATCGCCACAGGTCAGGATCAGCTTTACCCCTGCTAAACTTGAATCATTTTTTCTGTAATATAGTCAAACATTTCTTTTCATATTTTACAAGTGGTACATCAATGTTCCCTGTTGTTGAGGGATTTAAGTAGTGAATGTTTGTCGTTTTGGACATGAGTGTTTTTCTGGACTGGGATTGGAAAAGGAATGAATTAAGCCTTAATGTTTTGGTGCAAGATATTGAAGGGAGGGGTTACGCTGTGGAGAAGACCAGACGTAGGTTTTTTTTCCTGTCTGAGGCAGCACAGAGTGATAGATCCTGGTGAGTGGAAGGGACAATTTTATCCACAACCAGGTGCAATGGTGGAACCAAGGGGTGGCCATTGGCAATCTATGGTGGCCAAGGTCACCATGGTCACCCCAATCAGTTGAGGAAATTATACTTTTAAGCAATATAAAAACTAAAAAGCATAGATTTCTCAAATAAATAGAGTGACCGGTTTACATATTTACAGCATATGGTGGAGGCCATCTTGGATTCTAACTTGGGAAACGAATTTTCGATAAAGACCTTTCTTACAACTAGATGCAGCGACACACCAAATGGAAGTCAGCACGTTGCTAAGTTTTCCAGTTTTCCAGCTCACAAGATTAACATATATACATATATGGTAGCAGCCATCTTGGATTTTGGCATGGCAACCCAGTTTTTGAAAGGAGCCTTTCCAATTCATGGATGTAGCCCCGGATCAAAATGGAAGTTGGTATTGCTCGTTTCTTTTAAGCTACTTTGCTTACAACTAGGCCCATCATGATAACAAATTTTGCTGGGCGATTAACTGTATAAGAAATTTTTGCGATAAATGAAATATTGTTTGAAATTTGACAATAATTAGTAATTATTGTCAAATTTATGAAGAAATGTTGGTTAATTTGTTTTGAGTGTAATACCTTTTTTGACCACCAGGTGGCAGTATAAGACTGTTTGAACTGAAGGATGCATAGTGAGGGAGTGAGCAGCGTGTCTCTTTAAAAAAAATGGGAGGGAGGCCCCATGACGTGACATGGGCTGTCTCTCCTTCCTGTTTTTCGTTTCTCAAAATGGCGGATGCTCGGTGTGGTTTGAGCTCTTTAGCATGCATTTGTCACACAAAGCTTTTAATAAAAAAAATCAGTAAACAAGTTCTCAGATTCTTTTTGCAGAGAAAAACAACTTTTTACACGAAGGCACAGGTTTCAACCGTGAATTTTGGAGTGTCGACAAGACGGAGAATCCCCCCCAGGTCGTCCTGTTAGCTTAGCTCGTAGCTTAGCTGCTTTTAACAATCCAAACATGCGATTTTGGGTTGTTAAAAGTGATTTTAAAGAGAAAAGGAGGAGTCATTGAAGAGCACCGGAGTTGAGTCTTTTTGTCATCCAGTGTCTTCAGTAGAGAGAGAGAGACACGAAGAAACGATAAAGCCGATAAATGAAAATGAGGTCGATAATTTTCATTAATCATTGATTAATTGATTTATTGTTTATTGTGACAGGCCTTCTTACAACATGTACTAACAGATTAATTTCCTATTCCCCCTCTTTGCTCCATGACGGGGGTAGATATCACTTCCTGCTTTTCATGTAAAAGTTTTATACTTGTGCTGAGAAATGAGGGCCTCGTCGCTGCTTTGGTCAAATTTGAAAACATGTTAGACAAGATCTCACAGGATATCATGAGATTTTGTGTGATTTGCTAGCACTCAGAGTATGTGTTGGGGATGACTTTCAGCTACTACCACACCAAAATGTGACTTAATATTTGCAAAATTAGCCAATTTATGTTTTCTAAGGTCAATTAGCGAAGGTGGACGTCATCAGCAGTCGACAATAATAACCAAAACTATGAAAATCTAAGAAAAATAATAATAATATATAAGGAATGTTTGCATCGGGCGGCCATCTTGTTGTGCAGCTTGTACTGATACTAAAAGCAACTCCTCCATCAGAGCACTCAGAACAGTCAATGCTAACTTGATGTAATGTCGAGCAAATGCTTGGATGAAATCCAGATATGATTTAATCAATTAAATAGGGCTTCATTTCGTTACGAGTCACTAAGTGCATGAAGATGGAGGACGCTCATGTTGCTCTCATGGTTGTTTGTCACAGGAGCTGAGGGGAAAGATTCTTCTAAAAGCCAAGAAAATTGGTGGGCTGGAGGAGTGTCTTGATGAAACCCTGGCGGACGACGTCAGTGACGAGGAAGAGGCGGCTGACGGTGATGCCGACAGCCCAAACACAGAAGAGCCACCAGCTGTAAAGAACGATGAGGTAGATCTAGGATTCAGAGATGGCTAAAATAAAAGCTCCACTTACAAATGCATTCTGGAAGTGCAACCCTGATTCTGAAAAAGTTGGGATGCTGTAAAACGTTAATAAAAACAGAATGCAACGATTGGCAGATCTCATGAACCTACATTTTATTAACAACAGAACGTATTAAACTTATCAAATGTTTTAAATTGATTTATTTCTTACAGGCCAATATTAAAAAAAAATAGTGTTATTCTCAGCAGGGAAGCAGTAAGAACATCAGCATGTTGACGATTTTGACCTACTTTAAAAAATATATGTTTTATTTTTTTGGGACTTTGGCTGCTTTTTCTCTTATCTTCAGTCCAGTACCTGATTGGTTTCCATTTGTTAAAACACTTTACTCTTCCCATCCATTATTAAAGCATTAAAAGCATCCCAACCTAATGGAATGAATCAGCATATTACATTAGACAACTTGGTAAAAATCCAATTTTAATTTGTTCTTTTAGCCTTTTTGTTGCCAGCAGCCGGCCACAAAGACTAAATTTGTCTTCCCCACCCCTTTCTTTTCTGGAAAATACAAACTATACTATTTAACATGGCCTACCATGGTGTGCCAAGACTCCTAAAAGAGACTGGAGAAGTGGAGGTGAAGACAGGACCTGAGAATGCCTCATCATCGACTGCACAGCAACACTTGAGAAATGTTTAAAGGGTTAGGAAGTTGTCCACTAATTCTGCATCTTGTTCTCCCCTTTTGCAGAAGTCCAACGTGTCTAGAGAGCTGTCCGACTTAGTAGTCTACTGCAAAAGCGTGCACTTTCATGGCTTTGAGCACGCTCGTTCCAATGCTAAATGCTACGAGATGTCTTCTTTCTCTGAATCCAAAGTAAAAAAGCTCGCCAAAGACGCAGGTATCTAAATGAATAGTAATAATGAATGAATAAAAAAAAAACTTTGCCTTATTGTCACTGTGACGTGTAAATCTAGTAAACTTGCAGATGCTGGACTGATCAGGACTTGTGCTTCGTGCAGGGTCAGAGTTTGTGCAGTACAACACCCGGCAGCTGAGCAGGACCTACCCCAGCGGTCTGAGGACAGACTCCTCCAACTACAACCCACAGGACATGTGGAACATGGGCTGCCAGATAGGTGAGAGGAATGAGCCACCTGCTGGTAAACAAGTGGTTCGCCGATCTCCTCCGTCACTGAGAGATTTGAGTAATGAATACTTGTTGCTTTGGAGATGAGTTAGGTCCTCTGGATGAATTAAAAATCTTTGGGATGGACCAGTTTTTGCCGTAATGTATTTTGGGGTTTGAAAGCCACTGGGACGTTATGTTTAAAAAATAAAAGTCTCAGTTTCTCTGAAACTCCCGCAACATACAGAATGAGGACCAGACTTAACTTTGATTTTTCTACCTGGATTATTGAGCATGCATCAGGATATTTGGAGACGAGTGTTTTTCTGGACTGGAATTGAACAGGGAAGGCAAGTGAACCTTAATGTTTTTGGTGCAAGATATTTAAGTGGGTATAAGTTACATCGTGGACAAGAACAGAGATGTTTATTTTATTTTTTCTTGTCCAAGGCAGAGCAGAGTGACGGGTCTTGAAGAGTGGATGGAGCAATTTTATCCTCCACCAGGCGTAAAGGCGGAGCCTGGGGGTGGCCAATGGTGGCCTTGGCTACTGTAGATTAATCTTTGGCCACCCCAATCATTTGAGGAAACTATATTTTCAAGCAAAATAAAACCTAAAAACCATAGTTTTCTCCAATGATCAGGGTAGTTGGTTTACATATTTATGTGGCAGTGGCCATCTTGGATTTTGATGGGACAACATTTTTGATGGTGGCATTTTTTACGCCTAGATGCAGCCACACACCAAAATGGAAGTCAGCGCATTGTTTATTTTTCAAGTTATCTTGCTCACAACATGCACAGATGGATGGAGGTATTTCCAATTCCCCCTTTTTAATGTGGGACAACAAAAAAAGAACAAACAGGAGTGGTTTTGGCTAAACTCTATCTACAGCAGATGATTAGTACCATTTAAGGTCTAAAAAAAAAGCACTAATTTTAGATTTAAAGACATAATAATTTCTTGTGTCAACAAAACAGAGAGCTCAGAAGTAATTTTATGACCGAATGCTTCAGAAATCAAAGTTAAAAGGTTTAAAATAACTTTTCTTAAAATGGTCATCCTCAAGGATGGAAACAGTGAAAAAGCTGCAGAACATATAGAGAACTATAGATTACAAGAACATTTGGATCAATGGATCATAAAGGCACTGACACAAGGGTAGGATTAAGACTTTTGCACAGCACTGTACATCCACTATTTGTTCTAAATAGATGTTAAAAACTGAAAACCAATCGAAGAATTACAAATTGAACTAATAAATATCTCACAATGAACTGCACACTGTGTGCAGAGTCATTTCTCATTTTCTGCAGGGACACCAAAACTAAGAGCCAGGACATGTCTCTGACCGCTCTGGGCTGTCCACTTTAACTCTGACAGCCAGATAAAGTCTGATGTCTGATCTATGGAGTGGCACAGCCAGACAGAGGTTCATGTGATTATCCTCTCGCTGTCTTTTCTCTCTCAAAGTGGCTCTAAACTTCCAGACGGCTGGCCTTGAAATGGACCTGAACGACGGGCTCTTCAGGCAGAATGGCTGCTGCGGTTACGTCCTAAAACCAGACTTCCTGAGGGACGCCGACAGCCAGTTCAGCCCCGAAAACCCAGAGGAGCAGCGAGGCTACAAACCACTGCGCTTATCTATACAGGTTCACAACTATAGACAGAAACATTAAACATTTGCCTGTATTCTTTTGTTACAGAAAGAAAAACCCACAAATGTCACTGAAATAACCTCAAACTGGCAAAATTATAAGAAAATTATGAGTAAAACTCAAGCCATGAACATCTGACACTGCCTTCAAATTTTGATTCACCAGAGTAAAAGAAATAAAACTGGCCTTGACAAAAAAGAACTATATACAGTATATATATACTGTAGATGTTGCATAACATTTTAAGGCAATCACTGCAATTCAGTGATTTCTGCACCTGCCCACAGGTGTTCTGGTCCATCTGTCCACTGATGTTCTGGTCAAACTGCTCCAGATGTCACAGGTTTGAAGGACTCTTCTCCAGATGTTTCAGCTCCGTCCACATATTTTCAACAGGATTAAGATCAGGGCTCAGAAAGACACTTCAGAACAGTCCAATGTTTGGTTCTGAGCTGTTTCTGGGTGTTTTTAACTGTGGGGTTTGAGTCATTTTCCTGATGAAGGACACATGACCTGCGATGGAGACCAAGTGTTTTGACACCGGACAGCACATTTACCATACCATACCATACCATTTTATTTATAGAGCACTTAAAACAGCGACAAGGCCAACCAAAGTGCTGTACAGACAGAACAACAGGTAACACACAAAGCAAAATGCAAAATGAAGTCAATCAGAATATAGACATAAAAACAATGCAGATAATGACGGCAAACCAGTGTGGAGCGTACAGGTTTAAAACACAGATCATCTGGTGTTGAAAGCCACCGAATAGTAGTGGGTTTTTAAACGGGACTTGAAGACCGAGAGGGAGGGGGCCAGTCTGACAAGCAGAGGTAACTCGTTCCAAAGTCTTGGTCCTGCTACAGAGAAGGCCCCGTCCCGTCTGCGCTTAAGACGAGTTCCTAGAACTGTGAGGAGCAACTGGTCCGTTGACCTCAGGGAACGTGGTGGGACATACGGTTGTAGAAGATAAGAGAGATGGGGGGGGGTGTGGGGGGGGAAACTGTTCAGTGATTTGTAGACATACAGGAGTATTTTGAACTGGATTCGAAAGTGAACCGGTAACCAGTGCAGTGAGGCCAAAACTAGTGTAATGTGCTCTCTTTTGCCTGTACTGGTTAAAAATTGGGCTGCTGCATTCTGGACCAGTTGTGGAGGTCTGACTGATACCAAACAGGAGTGAATTGCAGTAATCAAGCCTAGATGTAATGAATGCATGTATTACTGTCTCCAGGTTATTTTTTGACAATATGGGCTTCAGTTTAGACAGCCGCCTCAGTTGGAAGAAACATGATTTAACAATCATGTTTATGTGACTGTTAAGTTTCAGGGATAGTCTTGAGATTTTGTTGAACCTGCAGACCGGAGACGCTCTGTGTAAGATGCAACAAAGTGGGCCCAGAACAGAGCCGAGCCTCCTCCATCTTTCACTGTAGGTACAGTTGGTTCAGTTTTGGATCTGTGAGCTCAGAGCTGACGGGACTTGTTGACAAAATGCTCCAGTTTTGTCTCCCCTGTCCAGAGGACTTTCTCCCAGACGATTTGTTGCTTCTCAGTATAGATTTAGGCAAACTCCAGTCTGGATTTTTTATGACTTGGTGTCCCCCTCACCTCTCTGGCTGAAATGGTTATTGATGGTGCAATCTGAAACTGATGACCTTTGACCTTGGAGTTCACCTCTTATCTCTTTGGAATTTGTTCTGGGCTCTTTGTTTCCCCTTGATATTATCCATATCTTCAGTTGTCCTCTTGTGGACATGTTCAGGGAGGTTGTCTTCAGTCCTGTTAAACTTGATTGATTGATTGATTGATTTTATTGTCAATTCTGCATATGTACAGGACATACATAGAAATTGAAATTGCGTTACACTCCTACTCAAGTTGCAGCAAACAACAACATTAGCAAAAATAAACTAACACAACTAGTTATATAAAAAATATAAAAGTGAACAGCAGCAGGACCTCTGATGCAACGTGCTCAATAGTGACTAACAGGAGACAAAGGGACGCTGACTGAAGACAATAACATGATGAGAGGTAGATAATGGATGTGCAAGGCCAGAGTAAACAATAGTGCAATATAAAGTATAAACCTGAGAAACTTAGTAAAGTGAAGGTGTGCATACCGGTTCTATATAGAGTCACAGTTATGCACTGATGAGGTGATTAAGTGGAAATGACAATACCAGAATTACCAGAATAGACAGGACGAGTTGATCATAACAGTAGTGCAAAATATAATGCAATAAACAGTAGAGTGAGCTTGTAGGCTGTTAAAGTGACCGATTCATAAACTATTCATAAAAATAAATAAATGTCCCAGAGCAGTTTTGAAGGGGGGGGGTGAGGGGGGGGGGTGTCAGGAAGCTGAGTTAGACTCCTGAATAATCTGTGCAGCTGAAGTCAGAGGAACATCAATCTGCTTTGAAATAATCTTATAGTTTGTACCTTTAACATGATGTCAGTCATTGTCTTTCTAATCCCATAAGACTCTCTGTCCTCAGCTTCCTGTGGTCCATGTTCAGTGTGTTACACACCATGATACCAAACAGCCCTGTGACTACCTGTCACCATTTAAATAGACAGACTGAAGACACCTGACATGCTGATTACTGGACACACCTTTGTGTCTCTATAGTCTAATTATTTCCCATATTTTCTAGAGGAGCCGTTGTTGATGCTTTTAATAGTGTCAGTTGACCATTGTGGGCTTTTTTTTCTCAAACAAAAAATTACAAACCAATTTATTCCTGCCTGTAGGTAAGAGCCTGCACAAAGAAATATTTTTTAAAAAGTATAAAAATATATATTTAAACATGTCTGTGTATTCCAGGTGATTAGTGGGCAGCAGCTGCCAAAGGTGAATCAGAAAGAAAGATCTATTGCAGACCCGCTGGTCCGAGTGGAGATCTATGGAGTACCACAGGACCAGGCCAAGGACGAGACCAGTTACATCATCAACAACGGTGAAACAACAGTCAGCTCAGCTTCAAATGATCAAACAAGGCAAAAGCAAAAATATGGAGTCACTCATTCCTCTGCTGCTCCTTCACCTGTAGGTTTTAACCCAGTTTGGAATGAAACTCTGAATTTTAATGTCCACACGCCTGAGCTGGCACTGGTTCGCTTTGTGGTGGAAGACTACGACAAGGCATCAAGGAACGACTTCCTTGGACAATTTACGCTCCCCTTTACGTGCATCCAAGCAGGTGAGCCGGCAGCAGAACGCTGATGATGCACCGCATTACAAAACTTTTCACGTGTTAGATGAAGGTCTTGCTTTTGTTCTTCCTCCCCAGGATACCGCCACATCCACCTGCTGTCTAAAGATGGAACGCCCATTCCGCCCTCTTCACTCTTCGTTAACATCAGTATTTCAGAGCTCACATGAAGAGGTCCCGACTGAGGACACAAAGACAAGTCCGGTGTCTCTAAAAACCGGAAAAAAGACTGAACAGCACGAGCCAAGCAATGATTTTTGACAACCTGTCAGGCTGAAGTACCAAACAAACTGTCGATGTCTGCCATTTCAGTGTTTTACATTAGCTATATTACACTTGAACGATTTCTAAATGAACTTACGGAACAATTAAATGTAACATTTATGATCTACAGTCAATTTAAAAACCGGAGCATAAGATCTTAACATTTCAGGACATAGAAATAAAACGGATCCTGAGAGGATCCTCAATGTAAATTCAACCCCAAATGAATAAACGCAAACAGAACGTATGGTATTACATTGACAGTTTAAGAAAAACTAAACCAAAAGACATAAAATGTGAAAACTGATTCCAGACCCTGATCCAGCAGCTTGTATGTCCTCCTTGAGCACCAATAACTATTATTAGTGGTTTCTGGAGGACTGTGTTAGTCTCTCACGAGGTTGTGGAAGAATTTTGGCCCACTCTTCGTTCCAAAGTTTCTTCAATGTCTAGAGGTTTTCTATCAGGTTAAGGTTCTGGACTCTGACTGGACCGTTGCAGCATGTCGGATCTGTTCTTTCCGACCTGTTCAGTTGTAGATCAGCTGCTGTGTTTGGGATAATGGTCCTGTTGGACCCAGTTTTGTCCAAGCTTCAGCTGTTGGACAGATGGACTCACATTGGACTCCAGAACCCTTTAGTCTACAGAGGAGTTCATGGTCCACTCAGTGACTACAAGAAGCCAGAACTATCAGCCCTCCACCACCGTGCGGACAGCTGGAATGAGGTGTTTACTGCAGTGCATTCTGGGTAAACATCTCTACTTTTAGTCTTGTGGAGATGAAACTGTCCAAACCATCGAGCTGCCATATTATTTTCAAGGAGGCTTTCTCTTGCAACCCTTCTAAACAAGCTATACTTTAGTCTTTTTTGTTGTTAGACCTGCTGACTGAGGTCTGCAGAATCTGAGGTGGAGCTTATTTCTCTGAGCATTGCGCGGTCTGAATTTCGGGGTGAATCTGTTGCCACTCCTGGGAAGATTGGCAGCTGTCCCTAAATGTTTTCCACTTGTGAATGCATTGTCTCTGCAGAACAATGGGCTCAAAATAGTTTGGAAATGACCTTTGATCCTCTTCAGATTGATGGGCATCAACCGTTGCTCATCAGTGCTCATGTCTTTCCACCTCGGTGTTACCTTAACACACATCTGGATGCTCCAGAACCTCTGTCCTTTTTTTAACTGTGTTTAGACTGATGTCAGGATCAGATGATTGTGCAGTGGTGGGCACAGCTAGAGTTGCATTTGGGCCCCAAAAATCCGATCCAACCCGGCCCCAGCTTGTAGCCATCATTTCTGAACCCCACCCGACCCGACGAATTAACAGAAATTACAGGTCCGAACCCGGAAAAAACCCCTGACATTTTCAATTAAGCTTTGACTGCTTATATAGTTATTAACGGTCGACGGACGCACATGGCTGAATAAGATGGGCAGAAGATCAGAGCTGAGGGGGTGATTGTCCTTTCATGGTCGTCAAAGCACATTAAATCCCTGCTTCTGCCTGCATTCTGCATTATTCAGACACGGACCCTGCTCTGACATGTTTACTTTAGGATCTCATCTGTTTAGATCGTCAGCTGCACATGTCCTCTGAGTGCAGCGGCTGAACGTCCATTTGGGCGATGGATCACTTCCTGGCAGTTCTGGTAGTCCCATCTGAAGCTTAACTTAACTTTATTTGACCTTTTTCAAGGCCGGTCAGCTCGCGGTGAAATGGCCGCATGAGGCTGGTGATTGTATGGCAAGACATGTTGCCATGTAATTGGATTGTGGCTGATCCGCTGACGCAATAAAAAGCCTGACACTGACCCGGCCCGCCCATCCAGCACATTATCATGGACCGACCCGGCCCAAAATCAGGTCAGGCTGGACCGGGCTTCGGGCCCGGGTTAGAAATGACAGCTCTAGGCACAGCTAACCAAAAAGTTAATTTTGTTAAACCATATTTTAACTAAAAAATTAGCTTTATTATTGCTAAACAAGTAAAACAATTTGCAGAAGCTAACGCTATACTGCTAACTGCTAAAACGACTGTCACTCAGCCTGCGTCATACGTCTTCCGTCTCCTTCCGTTGAAGCTGCGTCGACCAATCACGTCTTGTCACATGTACACGTAGTTAGCCATTAGCGTACCTAACGGACTTCTTGAGACACGCCCACAACAGACAGGAACATGCTTCTGAATTTTATTTGCAAACTTAAAGGTGGCAAAACCTCATTTAGCGGAATATAATTCCGCTAACGATTTCCAAAGTTAGTGAAAACGCTAATCCGCTTCATGATAAAAGCTCAGCTATTAGCTGTTAGCGGATTACCAGAACTGTGGCCATCAGTGGTAAAAAGGTTTACAGTGACCGTATGAATGTGAGAAAGCATGAAGAACCGCTGCATGCGGCCCAAACATTCTTAAAAATAAAATCCTGATAGTTTATGGTTTAGAGTTATAAAAACAGTGTAAAGAAAGTGTCAGATATAACTATCAGAATAATGTTCAAAGCTTTGCATTGTTGGTTAATCTAAATTTAAACTACAGAGCGCCTGGATATTTTTTTTGTTTTAGTCAGGCATGTGCAAACCACAGCCCGTGGGGCATATACAGCTCCTAAGGCTTTTTAATCTGGTCTGCCAAACTTGTTTAAACTGTAATATAAAATTAAATTATATCATATTTATAAATCACATTAATTTTGGCCTTTTTCCTGCACACATTGACCTTTATTGGAGTAAAGTGTATAATGCTACATTCATGTGATGCTTGGATGATCCCACGTGACCTAAAGTTTAGGTTATCTGCATGAATTAGTTCTTTATTTAAGATTAAATGTCACGCTGATGTTGAAAAACAACTTTTCTATCAGGTCTAGGTCACTCATGCAAAATTATATTTGAGCTAAAAGTAGACCGAGTCAACACAGGAAGTCGTTTGTCCAACATTTGCAACACCACATGAATGCAGCATTATTCTCTACCTCCCTTTTTTTTTTTTTTTTTTTAAATAAAAGCATTTTTAAACTGTTTTGTACAATAACCTTGTATATTCATGCTTTACTACCCATTAAAGACCAAAACCTTTTATGTAATGTCATTAACATTAGTTCAACCTGGGCCCTCTGTCACATCTTAGAACCCAATGTGGCCTGCGAGTCAATAATTTGCCCACTCCTGGCTTAGAATGTAATATATATATATATGTGTGTGTATGTGTATATATATATATATGTACATACATATATATATGTACATATATATGTGTATATGTATATATGTGGATATGTATATATGCATATGTGTATATGTATATATATGTTTATATGTATATGAATATATATATATATATATATAT